GCAAAGTATTCTGTACAGAACTCGCCATTATTTCTCGATCAACGGACGATGTTATTTTGGATGTAAATTTCTTGCAAGAGTTTGATGCGAATGTAGACTGTCGAAGTGGGGAACTATCAGTACACGACGAAGTTACGCCAGAACTCGTGGAGAGCTCGCCACGCCGCCAAGAAAGTGCCTTTTGTGTCACTCAGGTTGTTGCTGTGCCCACACACGCATCTGCGTCTTGGTAATTTTTTCTGGGACTACCACTACAACACTTGACGTCCGCAACACAACCCTTTAATTCGGCCTGGGTGAAGAAGGTTTTGGTTCCGCATTGCTTAGTGTCAGGTCATAGACGGGCGTTCCGGGTTATGGACGAGGACTGGCATGAAGCTCGCGCTATTCAAAGAAGAACTACCATATTTCTTGGCTGTACTCGAGCCTGCTGCAGATGAGTTCCTACATTCCTGCCATTCGGACTCGAAAGTTACTGCTGATGGTATGCAACCTACTAAGTGCGACCAAGCGCCACACGTTACTGAATATTTTATCGAAGCACGCGCAAGTTTTCGACTTCTCGCAAAATGACAACGCTCCCGCTATTCCAACGTCTCGAGCCCACTATTCCATAAATACAGGGTGAGCACATGCTACAAGACAGAAGTCATACCACAGTGTCACCTGACGAACGTGTGATAACTGGCAAGCAAGGTGAAGAAATGCTGCAGAAAGGAGCAATTTAGGAGTCAAGGAGCACTTAGGCTTTATTTGCCAATCTCGTCAAAAAGATGGCAGGTGGTGATTTTGTGTGTATTACCGGTGACTGAACAGCATTACCAAGAAGGACATCTTCCTATTCCCTCATATAGACGACTCTTGTGACTGTTTTCATTCGGCTTTTTACTTTTTTTCTGTCGACCAGAGATCCAGCTACTGGCAAATTTCGATGCGTGACGAAAGACAACGAAAAAATAGCGTTCGCAACACCCCATGAACTTTTGGAATTTAACGTTATGCCATTCGGCTTGTTTAACATGCCCGCCACCTTCGAATGTTTCATACACACCATTCTGAGAAGTTTAAAGTGCTTAAATTTAAAAAGTGCCATTTCCTTGAATGCCAAGCTTCTGTGTAGGGACATCTCGTGAACAAAGACGGCGTCAAGCCCGACCCTGCAAAGGCGAGGCTCTTGAAGCGTTTGAGCCACCTCAATCCACCAAAGCACTTCGCAGCTTTCTGGGGCTATGATGCTACTTTAGGCGGCTCATTCATCGCTTCGCTTACGTAGTTTATCCTTCAAGAAGCCTCCTGTGCAAGAACGCCTAGTTCCAGTGGACGCCCGAGTGTTCTGTTTCCTTTCGACAACTTAAGTTTCTGCTAACTTGGCAGCCAATTATCCGACACGTCAATTCGTAGATCCTGGAGCTGTTCTTCTTCAGCGCACCAACAACAAAGAACATGGCATTGGCTAAGTGACCAGGTCATTAAGAAAACGCAAACGAAACTGCATAGTTACTGAACAGGAATGTCTCATCGTTATTTTTGCCGTGCAGCGCTTGTGGCCTTACCTCTTTGGGCGCGAGTTCTCTATCATCACCAACCATCCCTCTCTATGTTGGCTCGTCAATCTTAGTGATCCGTCGGGACGCTCTGCACATTGGGCCTTACGTTTGCAAGAGTACAGCTTCACCGTCTCCTACAAAAGCAGGCGAACGCATGCTGGGGCCGATTGCCTGTCCAGGATGCCTCTCCATGCAACAGAATGCGACGCTGACAATTTTGACAACTTAATTGCAACCGCACATCGCAATGTCACAGGTATCGCAGCATTCGCAAAATTACAACATGAAGATCCGAGTTTATGGCCCTTTTTCTATGCAAGAAAAGAGTCAACAGCGTGCCCATTTTCGTGTTCGAGGGAGTTGCTGTATAAGAATTTCTCAGGGGCAGGTGCTCAGTTTCTTAACGTGGGGCCAGAAGCCCTTCGCTCTTCTGTATTGCGCATCGCGCACGATGACCCAACTTCACGTCAGCTAGGATCAATACGGACACTCCGTTGTGCTAAAGAAAGGTTTTACTGGCCGCTAATGTACAAGACGACAGACACGTCTGTAGCCAGCTGTGACAAATGCCAGAGCTGCAAGAGACCTACTGTGGCCTCAGACGATTGCCTAAAGCCTTTCGTGCCATTCATCTCACGTTTTGAACTAGTAGAGATTGATCTTATAGGACCGTTCTCACGTGTGTCCAAAGGGAACCGTTGGATTAGAGTAAGCACCGACTTCCTGACTTGATTTTGTGAAATGGCGTTGCTACCCTCTGCAACAGTAACTGAAGTACAAAATTTGTGCTCTATTCGACAATGCCTTCGTTAATTTTCTCCTCGAGTGATCACTAGTGATCGTGGTCGTTAGTTCACAGCTGAGATTGTTGAAAAGTTCCTACGCCTGTCTGCTTCAAACCTATGACATTGCACACCCTATCACCCGCCGACCAATAGCTGGACTGAGCATACAAATAGAACCCACGTGAGCATGATATCCTTGTACGTTAGCTCAGACCACAAAGACTGGTATGGAGTGCTGCCAATCGTCACGGAGGCATATATAGGGCGCAACAAAGAACCACTGGATGCAGCTCTTTTCTTTTCCTTCACACTCATCCCCCTCGATACTCTTTGGACACAAGCTTTGCTTTTCACAGCCACAAGGCACTTGTATCACGAAAACGCCTGTGCCACACGGATAAGGCTCAGGCGCCTCGACCTATTCCCTACTCCATCTTCAAAAGAGCGCTATAAATCCCGGTCTGACAGCCGACACCGTCAGGTCATCTACAATCCTGGTAACCTAGTGTAGTTATGGACTCCGGTACAAAAACGTGGACCGTGTCGAAAATTACTCGCTCGTTATGTTGCAGCATCCATTTTGACAGATCTTCTCAGTGAGTTTAAATATAAGATGGCACACCTCACCGTCAATGGAAGACGGTCATTCAAGACTGAAGTCGCACATATAGCACGCCTGAAGCTTCTCAGCGACGTCCCAACTAACTTCTCGCCTAGTGAACGTCATCTACAAGAGGGGCAATGTTAGTGGGTCTAATCGAGTGAAACAGGGGCTGCAACAACAACAACAGAGATTGAAGAAGGAGAAGTGCACAACTGGCCGGTACTCATCACCCAGCTCATTGTAAATAAACCTTTCTTACAAACCCCGAAACAATATATATATATATATATATATATATATATATATATATATATATATATATATATATATATATATATATATATATATATATATATATATATATATATATATATATATATATATATATATATATATATATATATATATATATATATATATATATATATATATCTGGGTAGATGAGGTGCGAGATCACCGGGTAGAGATAGGTCCTGGTCTGTAATCACCGCCAGTCTACGACTGTTCTTCGCTTAACTCTTGATGAGGTGGTGAGAAAACACACCTTTCCAATTTGTAGTGTGGTCCTGCGGTCATCCCGTTCGCACCTCTCTCAATGAAGTTTAAGCACGGGAATATTTTACTCGTGTATTTTTCTTGTATACGGAGGTTTTGGTTTTTGCCACCCAAATACTATCACAACATAAGGGTGTCTAAGATATGTTGCTTGGTCAGTCTGTTGGCTCCTAAAACTTTAGGATGCCTGCAGTGCTTTACATTTTCGTTTTTGAACGTTCCACTTTCTGGTACGATTTCACCAAAAGCTCGTATTTTGTACTCCTAATTAAATACTATTTACAGTGTAATACTTTTAAATGCTAGTGGTGGCACATTCCTGGTATTCTTATTTGTGAGTAAGGCGCCATAGTCCATGAAACAGCTTTGAAGTGTTTTCTTAGGCATATTAAACTGCGTTCTCGTCGACAGCTACAAAATGAAACGAGTGGTCTAGAGCAGCTATATATAAGCGTACGCACGAAAGAAAGAAACACTGGGACAGTGCTGACACTAACAGCTGCTGCAGGTCGTGGGATCGAATCCAGGCTGTGGTGGCTGCATTTCCGATGGAGGCGAAAACGCTGTAGGCCCGTGTGCTCAGATTTGGGTTCACGTTAAAGAATCCCAGGTGGGTTAAATTTCCGGAGCCCTCCACTACGGCGTCTCTCATAATCATATGATGGTTTTCAAACGTTAAACCCAACATATTAGTCAAATCATCAACACTAACAACTAGTGCGTATTGAAAGCCTCCGCTAAAAAGAAAGGTGTGGCAATCTACAAACTTTTTAATCGCTTAGGTTTATGTAATGTTTGACCACCTCTTTTACCTGCAAATTACCGCACCTATATATTCAGCGGAGGGCTCGAACACACGGCAGTTAGTGGCAGTAATGTCCTAGCGTTTCCTTACATCATGCGTACGTTTTAATTTAGCTGTAACCACTTGCAATGCAAGATCACTAACTAGCCCAGATGCGAAACCATTCTAAAGCATATGTACAGAGTCAAATTTGTTCGGCATCACGATGTTCATTTTACTCTATATATCTGCTTATTTAGAACTCGAGACTGTTGAGATACGCTGAAGTGTCCCCTACTTTATTTTGGACGCACGAGCATGACTTTTCCACTGAGAGCACAGATTCACAAATGAAGTATAAAAATAAAATTAACGGTCTGAATGACCCACCCTAAGTGAAATATGCTAATATTTCGTATATCTTGCAAACTACACTTAACCTAAAATTGCCACTTGTCTGCTGGCACACTAGAGCACAAAAAAAAAAGAAACAACCCCGCAAACTGACGATCCTCATTTGTGTTCCGTCCGTTGTGTGCTTTTTGCGCTGTAGTGTTGCAGAATTATCTACCAACAAGCCCAACTCGCCGCTTAGTAGTGTAACAGCAAGTCACTTGTTAATGCTGCGACACTAAAAATTATGCAACGTTGCCACCTAACTTCCATTTCTTTCATTTATGCAGCGTACGTATAAAACAAACCAAATGTTCTCATTCACCTCGCAGGTTTCTTGCTGGGTGTGCACCTTCCTGCTGCTCAGCTATGCCAAGACTATGGTCACGCTTTTACTCACTAGCCACGGCGAGAACGCGCTCTTCTGGGTGGGCGCCTGCACCCAAGCGGGTGCGCTGGTCGGAAGTCTGGTGCCATACATTCTTGTGAACGTGGGCGTATTCGTCGAACGAGATCACTGTGCCCTGTCCACCTAGAGACGTGGACATAAAGTGTACATAGTCTACGTCTGCTGCCTTTGCAAAATCCCGGGGAGTGCTCAGCAGAGACATCAATAGTGCCTGCAAAAACTTGGAGAGGAAATGTTCTCGGGGAAAATCAAAGAAGGAAAAGGAAAAGGCCAATGTGGGATATTAAGACGCAGTGAATGCACGTACAGTGAGAACACGTAAAACAAGGACTGGAGAAGTGCCCGTGGACGCAAGTCATCTTCCCCATCATTAATCATGCCATCACCGTGATCCCGAAAGGCTGACGAAGACAACAAGAAGTGTACAAGAGTGTATTCGATGCAGAATGAGAGTTAATGCAGGAATTCTGGCTATAACTGCGCAGCTAGAAGAAAAAAATTTAGTGTAGATGTATTTCAAACTGAGAGAAAATGCAGAGATTGCAGTCAGTTCTAACATATGCGAGCGGTCGATACGATGAAAAAAACTATCAGCGTGCGTTCCCTGTGCAGACTGACCTGTCTGTGAACAGAAATCTTCCATTTTGATGAGAGCGACAGATATGTTACGACAAAAGTCTCTTGTAGCTCGTCCGTCTAAAAATCTATCCTACTTCGACCGGTGGCGTCATGAACGCTATTGGTAATGAGAACTTTGTGACGTTCGATGCGCTTGTATATATTGATGCCGAAAGGCTAGGAGTACATAATAAGGTGAAATCAAAGGTAACTTCACGTGAAGAAACGTATATTGAAGTAAGTAAATATTGATTCGGGACAAAACAAAGTGATCGATGTCAATTAAAATTGATTAAAAATTTGATCGAATAATTCATGAGTAAATCAGGAGTCAATCACGTGGCATAAGTAACTTGATGCGAATGAAGAGCGAATGAAGTAACTCAGATGTGAATCTGGGAAGAATATGTAATATCAGTGTGAATCAAGAGCAAATCATGCGACTCGTGTAAATCACGAATGGCTCAAGCTGCTCAATGATGAATAAACATTCATAAAAGTGAATCAATATGAAATTCGTGAACAATAAAGCGAATGAAGTGTGCTAAATAAGCATATCTCAAAGACCTTAGGTTTCGGTCGGTAGTCATTAAAACAGCTAATGAGAACCGGTGATGTTTCCACAAAGGCGTCACCAGCAGAATTGATCTTCGAATATCTCAACTTTGACTAACATGTTATACGTTCCACAAACTTTGCAACCCAAGTGATTTCAAAGGAGGTGGGAGGATCAGAGATTTTCGCTCGGGTTCTTAGGACTTAGTCAGTAGTCAGTAGGACTTGGGCTGTAGTCAGAAACTTATGGCTCATCATTTCGCACTCATGCAATGTCAGCACGCTTGTAAGACGAGTAATATATTCTTTTATAAGATCAATCACTTGAATCACCTATTAATGCATTACATTTTGTATAGTTTATCGTCATCACTGCAACGACTTCTGTGTGCATTGCTTAATAGATTGATATTTAGAAGCTGTAGTTCTGATGGCGCATACTTTCCCAACGCCGCAGAAATCTGTTACTATGCGTCGAAGTGTATTTGTTGTGCGGTGTGGAAGCATGCATCGAAGTTCAGCCAAGCAAGGGAACACACGTGAATTAAGAACAACACCAGATGCCTTCCATCACTTACATAATAGTGTAGTTACTGCGTCCGCAAACTCTCTGTGCATGCATAAAATTTAGGTAACAAATACTAATGCTATATCACTCAGCCACTTAAATGTACGCAATTTACGATCTCAGCGTCGCAGCTTGAAAAATTGTTGATGGCCTGAAACCACACTGCACCAAATCTTGTAACATAAAATCGCACGTGATGCAAGTCAAGCGACTTACAAGTGTCTTGATTTCTACATGAAGGCGGCTGAGATATTCGTCCTTTAAGTAGAAACTGCACAAAAATCCGTTGTTTTCCTACTTATTCAGAACTCCGCTATCGCCGTACAACTAAACTAAGCTAATATCGTAAATTAAGGTGCAGAGTCCAAGCCAGTATACACTTCTGAACTTTGTAACCAAAGAGTGCTACGAAGTGCATTCTCGTTCCGCTTCACCGCTTTTACAAATATTTGCGTGTCGTAGATATTAACATCTCCGCGTTACCATCGTGCTCACGAAGTTTTGCATATTTCTGGAACACATCCCTAAAGAAACGCTTATCACATAGTGTGCGTTTAATAAAAACCTAGCAACCATTGTTCTGAAGCCAGTCGGTATCGATCTTTCAAACTCATCTGCGTCTGATTGCATTCCCATCAGTTCATTACACATGTATTATGTTTTTCAGACATAGAAAGATAATCCTTGGAACGAGTACGTTACCATAGGCCAATATGCACCGAAGTAAAAAGCCGGAATGCGTCTTTGCACTAGCCGTGTAGTATTTCATTGTATGCTCCGAAGGTCCAAGAGACCTTATGCGAAGTTGCTCGAATATCTGTGAACAGTGAGCCAGATGCCATCTTGGTTGTGTCAAGCGGTAGCGGTGTTCTCATGAAGTTGCGCGTGGTGTTGCAGTGCACTTTTGTGTATTCACTCTGAATTTCGTGTCTCAGCGCTCCATTTTAGCCGCTTATGATCCTACTTCTACGAAGAAAAATGGTGCAACGGCTACGCTTTTCAACTGCCAGCCATGTGATATGAACGAACGATTTGGAAATTCTGCCTCACATCAGTGAATATGCTTCAGCCAGCCTCTGCACGATGGTCTAGTTTCTCCCGTTGACGAAGTAGTACAACTTTGCAGTCGAGGCTCGCACCGCCTTGTGGTCGGTAGCTACGCGCACCTGTGATTATGGGTCTATCGGCGTCAAACCAAACGTGAGCAGTGGCGTGTGCGCACATCCAGTTTGACATCACTGCCCGCTACGGGTTCTTGTTATTCATGACGACGCGTACAGCCTTTACAAATACTAGCCTCTGTGGGCGTGTCGTTTCGCCCTGATAGCATGATAGTGCTTCGACACTGCGCAACTTGAACAATAGAAGCATCTGTCGAGTGAGGTGTAGCGTCGCATTTTGTCTAAACACTTCCAGTGCGCTGTAAAGAAAATCAAACCTACACATATTGGAATTATGTAAAATATATTGCCGCATGCATAGCTGCATTTAGCGGCGAGATAGCGACGACAACGAAGAACGCGAATTTGCTCCAGAGGCGCAGCGCAGCAGAGTGAAGAAGACGACAATCTTAGCGGCCTTCTCTGAGAGCGTCTCTACAAGTCCCACTGTCCATGTTTTTAAATAAACCCCCTGTCATTTATAACCCGCGACACTGGTGGAGGTGCTGGGTACTACCACCTCATGATCAGCACCCCTGTGAGAAGCCCCGAGTCCAGCCCTACGAGACAGCCACGCGTGGAGACGCCTGTGCACCGCTCAAGCCGTCGCCTTCAAGGTCTTGAACCAGAATTTGGCCTTTCAAAGGAAGCAACACTTCCGACAACCACCCCTACTCAAGAAATGGCAAGGAGTCCTGCACAGGTGACGGTCCAGAATATGCGCATTCCTGAACCATTTCATGGCCGGCCGAACGAAGATGCGCAAGACTGGCTTGAGCAGTTCGAACGGGTAGCTAAATCGAACTACTGGAGTCTCGATGGAAAGCTCTTCCACGTATACTTCGCCCTTGAAGACGGCGCGAAGACGTGGTTTATAAACCGGGAGGCAACATTGACGACATGGGAGGAGTTTTGTCGTCGGTTTCTTGACACCTTCGGTAACGCGGACCGACGCGAAAACGCACAACGCCTTCTTGAAGGACGCACCCAACAGCTGCATGAAAGCGTCGCCATGTTTGCTGAGGATATGGTGCGCTTGTGCCACCGCGCGGACCCCAACATGCCCGAGGCTCGAAAGCTAACCCATCTCATGAGGGGCGTCAAAGAGCAGCTATTTGTTGGTCTTGTGCGCAATCCGCCGACAACAGTGGACGAGTTCACCAGGGAGGCCACCGCAATAGAGCGTGCGCTACAGCAATGGTACCGACAGTCTGATCGCCCGGCCACCGGCGCAGCTGCAGGCGCCGCCGCACTCACCGCAAACGACGAGTTTGCTCTACGCCACCTGATTAGACAGATCGTGCGTGAGGAGATCGCGAAAGGAGAACGCAAAATACACATTGCAGTCACAGGCGCCCCCGCAGCAGGAGTCCACGGTAGCCTCCGTCGCTGAAGTTGTTCGCCATGAACTTCGACAAGCGTTTGCCTCTCCTCAGCAATATTCCGCTCCACCGCACCGTCCAAACTCGTGTACCTATGCAGACGCTGTGCGTCGTCCATTGGCTCCAGAAGTATCGTACCAGCCGAACGGATACAGCTATGCAGACGCTATTCGTCGACCCACGCCCATGCCAGCGCCGCAGTACCTCGAACCGTATCCTGTGGCAGCCTGGGCTCAGCAGGATTCTGTCAGGCGACCCTATATGCGGAAGACCGACATATGGCGCACTGCGGATCGTCGACCACTCTGCTACAACTGTGGAGAGCCAGGGCACATTTGCCGTTTTTGCCCACATCGCCGAGCTGAATACCGCGGTAGTGCACCTACAGCTACGCGCCGACAGTTCGACGAAAGCCGTGCCCCCATCGACGACGACCAGGCTGGCAGGCGGGAAGGCTCTTCTACCTTCCGGACGCGGTCACCATCACCGGCTCGCTTTGGTTCACCAAGCCGCCGTAGTTTTGCTGACGCCGTCAGAGGTCGGTCTCCCAGCCCACGGCGGGGAAACTGAAAGCAGCGACCTCTGGGGGGAAGGTTGCAAGCCGTCGAATTGCCGAAAAACCCCCACTGCTGCCGAAACACGTGAGAGACGACGATGAAGACTTCGCCGAAAAAACTGTGACTGCCGACCTCGCTGTGACGATTGACGGCGTTGAAGTGACGGCCTTAGTCGATACGGGTGCAGACTTCTCCATAATGAGTGAACGATTGGCAGACGAACTCAAGAAAGTCAGGATGGAATGGACGGGCCCTTATATCCGAAGTGCTGGAGGCCAGATAATGACTCCCACGGGAAAATGTACAGCAAGACTCACTATTGAGAATGTGGCTTTTGTAGCCACATTTCTGATCCTACCGGAGTGCTGCAAACCTATGATTCTGGGAATGGACTTCTTAAGAGAGTACGGTGCTGTGGTCAACATACGCGGTGTGATCACATTCGCCGCTGACAAGTCTGTGACCACTGATCCAGACCAAGAACCCAGGGTGTTACGTGTGGTCGACGACGACGTCTGCGTGCCACCACTGTCATGTAGTCTTGTTTCCGTGTGTTGCGCCGTGCACTGTAATGAAGACGCCATAGCCGAACGCATCACTGACCTTCTTTTTCACCAAGGCATCGCCATCGCTCGCGGTATCGTCAGCTTAGTGGATGGGCGCGCAGACGTGCTTCTGACCAACTTCACGAATGAGCGCCGGCACATCGGTAAAGGCACGGCTGTGGCGTACCTCGAAGAGCTCGACTACTCTCACGACTGTCTTCTAATGCAAGGGGAAGCCACAGCTCAATCACCTCCACATACACCACCAGTTGATATCGGTCCGAGTCTAACACCGACTGAAAGATGCCGTCTTATGGAGCTGCTCGACCAGTTCAAGGACTGCTTCTCATCGACATCACGAGTGGGTCGAACGCCTCTGACTAAGCATCGTATAATTACGGAAGACACAGCAAGACCGATCCGACAGAACCCATATCGCGTCGCTCAGAAAGAACGTGAGGTAATCCAGCAGCAAGTCAAGAAGATGCTAGAGGATGACGTTATCCAACCATCAAAGAGTCCTTGGGCATCGCCAGTGGTACTCGTGAAAAAGAAAGACGGCAGCTTGCGTTTCTGCATCGATTATCGTAAGCTGAACCATGTTACAAAAAAAGACGTTTATCCATTACCACGGATCGATGACTCTTTGGACAGGCTACGGCATGCGCGCTACTTCTCGTCAATGGACCTTAAAAGTGGATACTGGCAAATAGAAGTAGATGAGCGCGACCGAGAAAAGACCGCCTTCGTGACGCCAGACGGGCTTTATGAATTCAAAGTCCTCCCTTTCGGTCTATGCTCAGCCCCAGCCACGTTTCAGAGACTAATGGATACCATTCTGTCCGGCCTGAAATGGAAAACATGCCTTGTGTACCTCGACGACGTGATCGTTTTTTCGGCCACGTTTGAAGAGCATCTAAAGCGGCTACTGTCAGTCCTTCAAGCCATACGGTCCGCTGGACTCACACTCAAACCGGAAAAATGCCACTTCGGCTTCGAAGAACTCCAGTTCCTGGGACACGTGATCAGTCGCGAAGGTGTGAAGCCTGACCCAGATAAAACAGCAGCCGTCGCAAAGTTCGCAAGGCCTGTTGATAAGAAAGCGGTCAGGCGTTTTCTGGGTCTCTGCGCCTACTACCGGCGATTTATAGCAGGCTTTGCACACATCGCCTCTCCACTCACCCGCCTTACAAGGGAAGACATCGCATTTGTATGGGGTGAAGAGCAAGAAGCTTCATTCAACGAGCTGCGACAGCGTCTACAAACTCCACCTGTCCTCGCTCACTTCGACGAGAATGCACCAACAGCCATCCATACAGACGCCAGCAATGTGGGCCTAGGTGCTGTTCTTGTCCAATGCCAAGATGGTGTGGAGAGAGTGGTTGCCTACGCTAGCAGAACGTTGACACGCGCCGAGTCCAACTACTCAACAACGGAGAAGGA